ACCTTCGCCGAGTATCGGTCGACTATCAAAAGAAGGAAACGGTGCAAACTCACTACTTCTCATATTTGTTTTTCCTTGTTGCAGCAATGAGTTGACTCGTCTTTGGAATTTATGCCCTGACAATTTGGAAGCTTGCAAAGCCGATAACAGGTAACTGAGCATGTACAACTTCGAGCAGAATTTATATTGTCCTCTCTACATTGACTAACACTTGAGATAAAATTATAGATTAGTGTTAAACCTCATGCAGACCTCTTGTAGACCTCATGCAGACCTCCAGTAGACCTCTTGCAGACCTCTTGGAGCCCTCTTGCAGACCCCTTGTAGACCTCTTGCAGACCCCTTTCAGACCTCCTGTAGACCTCTTGCAGACCTCCTGTAGACCCTGCAGACCTCCTGTAGACCTCTTGCAGACCTCTTGGAACCCCCTTGCAGACCTCTTGGAGCCCCCTTGCAGACCTCCTGTAGACCTCTTGGAGCCCCCTTGCAGACCTCCTGTAGACCTCTTGCAGACCTCTTGGAGCCCCCTTGCAGACCTCCTGTAGATCTCTTGCAGACCTCCTGTAGACCTCTTGCAGACTTCTTGGAGCCCCCTTGCAGACCCCTTGTAGACCTCTTGCAGACCTCTTGGAGCCCCCTTGCAGACCCCTAGTAGACCTCTTGCAGACCCCTTGCAGACCTCCTGTAGACCTCTTGCAGACCTCCTGTAGACCCCTTGCAGACCTCCTGTAGACCTCTTGGAGCCCCCTTGCAGAACTCCTGTAGATCTCTTGCAGACCTCCTGTAGACCTCTTGCAGACTTCTTGGAGCCCCCTTGCAGACCTCCTATAGACCCCTAGCAAACCTCTTGCAAACCTCGTGCAAACCTCTTGCAAACCTCCTGCAAACCTCTAGCAGACCTAGCAAACCTCTTGCAAACCTCTTGCAGACCTCTCGCTTTGTTCATACTTTCCCGCAGTCGACGAGACGCTACCGCCGAAGCGCTAATTATAAGCTTCTCGCAGGATAGGCATATCCTAGCATATTTTCGAGCTTAACGAGGCATTTGTTTTGTTTTAAATATTTGTCCTGTTGGATAGTTCTCATCATTTGAGTCGATTTTTCCTTTTTAATTTCAGAGTTTTTCTCCCAACCCTTGAGGAATATTTTTCTGAGGCCATAGAACAAGCTGATCCAGCCGCTATGGTGGAAGAAGAGTACAAGTATGGATGTCTTCTGAAATGTTCATTCAGATGTGTTTTCTCTGTATTTCGTTCAGATAGTCATTTTAACTTCTAATTTGGAGATTGTCAAACTCATCAAGGGGTCATATTGAGAAATATTGTAAGAATTGTCATTGTATCTTGGACTGTTGTTTGGCAATGAAGTAAGGCTGTGTCCACACTCTCGATAGAAAGTTCATTTTTTTCTCTCGCAGGGTTACGAAGAACAGTAACTTTGGTTGGCGAGGTAGGTTTCATACCATCGCATTCTTAATCCGCGAGCTCTCGTGTCTACGCTGCCCCGTTAATGAGAACATCCGGTCAGAGCAATTTTCAATCGAGTGTCGAAAGTACCCGGGATTGCTTTAATTTGGCTTTACTTTGCTGTGTGATTGGTCCAGAAAACTCGCGCCATCCTTTCAACCAATGAGATGCAAAAGCAAAAACATTCGCGAATTGGTCGCCCGGGTTTTCCCGCGCTTTTGGCTGTTGGGTTGTTTTACGA